CAGCCAGACTACACCGCACTGCACTGAGCCTGGGCGACAGAGTGAGGTTCTCTATCTCAAACAAAACAAAGCACACACAAAAAAACAGCTAATCGCTGATAAAAAGGAGGAAACAGGGCAATCAGTGGATGAAACTGTGACCTGCTGCACCTACTTGGCGGATGCTACATCTTATAGTAACTATTACAAATTTTAAATGTGCAAACTGTCTGACACAGAAACCCCAATTTGGATCTGGTCTATATAATTAACCAGCGCACGTTAACAAGAATATATGAACAAGAGATCTGAGAAGGGACAGACGTTCGGTCCTGGCTTCAAGTGGGGTCGGCTGACCCCTGAGCTAGCCGTAACTGGAGACATCCCCCACAGGGCAGTCTGACACCCCACCACCTCACGCAGGATGGAGTATATCCGCTGAGAGGAAGCCTGCCAAGCAAGAATCAGTCAGACAGGGACAACTCGCTGTCAGCAATATAGAGTTATACCTGATGTAAATGACGAGTTGATGGGTGCTGACGAGTTGATGGGTGCAGCACAGCAACATGGCACAAGTATAGATATGTAACAAACCTGCACGTTATGCACATGTACCCTAGAACTTAAAGTATAATAATAATAAAAAATAAAAAAATATAAAAAAAAAGAAATACAAAATTAGTTCAACAGTAAGCATAAAAGTACAGAAGCATAATATATATGCAAATTTTAAATAAAATTATTAAGTATATTTTACATTGCAAAGAATGTGAAATAAATTTAGTCTCAAAAACAATAGTATATTATAAATTCTGCCTTATATAAAGTATAATTTTCATAGTCTATTTAATTCAGCTAGTATTTATAATTTAATATCAACACAAGACTTAATGGGAATGTGCAGTCATAAATATTGCATATTATATGACTAAGATAATGTGCTGCATAAAATTAGAAACGATGACAGCAAAACCATGTTAAATGTAAATTTACCTAATAACATTATGCATTGACAGAATGTAGTTTTTTAATGACCAAGAACACTCAGTAGGGTCTCCAATAAACATCAACACATTTGACTTTTTTGTTTTATGAAGCAAAAGTTTGAATTATACTAGATATGGTGCTTCTATGGGAATTTATATTTCACAGTATTTTCAGAATTTTATGTTATACATTGATTTAAAACATTATAAAACATAAATTTAAATATGAAAAAGAAAAAGAAAAGGGTGAGAATACTATTTTATTATTTTATTGTTTTTGTTTGTTTGTGTTTTGAGATGGAGTCTTGCTCTGTCACCCAGGCTGGAGTGCAGTGGCATGATCTTACCTCACTGCAACCTCTACCTCCCAGGTTCAAGCAAGTCTGCCTGCCTCAGCCTCCCGAGTAGCCGGGATAACAGGCACCTGCCACTACATACAGCTAATTTTTTTTTGAAATACATTTTTTAAAACACAATTTTTAGCCAGGTACAGTGGCTCACACTTGTAATCCAGGCACTTTGGGAGGCCAAGGCAGGCGGATCACCTGAGGGTGGGAGTTCGAGACCAGCCTGACAAACATGGAGAAACCCCATCTCTACTAAAAATACAAAATTAGCCAGGCATGGTGGCACATGCCTGTAATTCCAGCTACTCGGGAGATTGAGGCAGGAGAATTGCTTGAACCCGGGAGGCAGAGGTTGCAGTGAGCCAAGATCGCACCATTGCACTCCAGCCTGGGCAACAAGAGCGAAATTCCATCTCCAAACAAAACAAAACAAAAAAACAAATCCAGAAAGATTCAAAAATATAAACTTTTAAATCTAGAAAATATCAGAGAAAAATTAAAAAGCATATTTCAAAAATCTTGGCATAGGTCAAAAAGGTCACATGCTGAATGATTCCATTTACATGAAATGTCTAGTTTAGAATAAGTAAATCCACAGAGACAAAAAACCAGAATAGTGGTTGCCAAGGGCTGCAAGTGGGGAGGAGCAGGGAGTGACTACTAATGGGTTTCCTTTCTGGAAGATGAAAATGTTCTGCACAGAAACAGTAGTGACTGGTGATTGTACAACTTTGTTAATCCAGGGCCTGGGCCAGGGAAGGGCCAGTGCAAGGGCAGGGCCAGGGCAGGGCAGGGACAGGGTAGCACAGGGCCAAGATAGGGCAAGGGTGGGGCCAGGGCAGGGACAAGAAAGGCCACGTAACCGTAGGGCAGATCCAGGGCAGGGGCAGGGCAGGGCCAGGCCGAACGCCAAGGCCATGGCCAGAGCAGGGCCAAGGCAGAGGGAGTGCCATGGCATGGCAGGGCCAGAGTAGCACAGGGCCAAGGAAATTCCAGGGCAGTTAGGAACCAGGGCAGGAGCAGGGCCAGCGCCAAGGCACGGCCAGGGCCAGGGCAGGGCCAGAAGCAGGACAGGGCCAGAGCCAAGTCAGGACCACAGCCAAGTCAGGGTCAGGGCTATGGTAGGACAGTGGCAGGGTAAGGGACATGGCAGGACCAGGGACAGGGCCACGGGCATGGTCAAGTCAGGGCCAGGGCCAAAGCAGGCCCCTGGAATGGGCAGTATTGGGCAGGGCAGGGCAGGTCCAGGGTAGTGCAATGCCCAGTCAGGGCTGGGCCAGGACAGGACTAGAACCGGGGCAGGGGCAGGGTCAAGGCCAGGGCAGATCCGGGGCAGGGTCATTGCCAGGGAAAACCCAGGGACAGGGTCACAGTCAAGGACATGACAAGACCAAGGCCAGGGCCAGAAGTAGGGCAGAACCAGGGCCAGGGCAGGGCTAGGGTAGCACAGGGCCAAGGCAAGGCAAGTGTAGAGCAAGGACTAGGCCCAGGTGTGGCAGGACAGGGACAGGGAAGTCCAGAGCCAGAGCAAGTTCCAGGACATGGACGGTGCAGGGCCAGAAACATGTCAGGACCAGAAAGGGGCCAGGGCAAGGGCAAGGCCACAGAAGGACCAGGAAAAAAGCATGACCAGGGAGGGACCAGGGCAACGGCAGGGCCAGGGCAAGGGTAGGGCCAGGGCAGAACCAGAGCCAGGGCAGGCCAAAGGCAGGGCAGGGCCAGGGTAGGGTAGGGCCAGGGGAGGGTGAGGGTAGGGCCAGCGCAGAACTAAGATAGCACAGGACCAAGAAACGGCCAGAGGAAGAATAAGAGAGCACAGGCCCAGGGCAGGACCAAGGAGGGGCCAAGGCCAAGGCATGGCCAGTGTGGGGCCTGGGCACTGTCAGGGCCAGGGCCGGGCCAGGACCAACACAGGGCGAGGTGCTGACCAGGGTCAAGCCTGGGCCAGGGACAGGGCCAGAGCAAGGGCAGGGCCAGGGCAGAATCAGGACCAGGACAAGGCAAAGCCAAGGCCAGGGCACGGCAAGAACAGGGTAGGGCAAGGCCAGGGTAGGAGAAGGCCAGGGTAGGGCCAAGGCCAGGTCAGAACCAGGTTAGGGCAGGGTTAGGGTAGCACAGGGCATGGCCAAAAGCAGGGCAGGGCCATAGCAGGGGCAGGACTAGGCACACGGCCAGGGCAAGTGCTGGATCAAGGCACGGTGGGGTCAATATACGGCCAGAACAGAGGATGACAAGGCAGGTCCAGGGCCATGTCATGGACAGGGTAGGCCCAGGGGCAGGCAAGGGTAGGGCCAGGGCAAGGCCAGGGAGAAGGCAGGGCCAGGGCCAAGGCAGTGCCAGGGCAGTGCAGGGCCAATGCAGGGTGAGGGCAAGGCCGGGTGTGGAAGGGCAGGGAAGGACCAAGGAAGGGCCAGGACAGGGCCAGGGCAGGGTCAGGGCCAGGACAAGGGTATGGCCCGGGCCAGGAATATGGTAGAACCAGGGCTGGGCCCAGGCTAGGACACACAGGGCAGGGCATGGCCTGTGCAAGGAAGGGCCAGAGCCAGGCCATAGAGAGGGGAGGGCCAACACCAAGGCAGAGTCAGGGTAGTTCCAGGGCTGAGCAGGGTCAGGGCAGGTCCAGAGTCGAGGCAGGGCTAGGGCCCAGGCAGGGCCACGACAATACCAGGGCAGAAGAGAACAGGACAATGGCAGGACTGGGCCATAGCAGTGCCTGGTCAACTCCAGGGCAGGGCCAGAAGAAGGACAGGGCCAGAGCTAATGCTCAGGACAGGGACAGGGCATGGCAGGAAGCACCAGAGCAGGGACAGGCCAAGGTTGGAGCAGGGCAAATCAAGGCCAGGACACTTCCAAGTCCAGCTCTGGCCCTGCCTGGGCCCTGACCCCTCCCTGGCCTGACCTTATCTCTGGCCCTGCCCTATCCATGCTCTGTATATTTCACCAATGTTTCATAACCAGAATCCTACAAGGAACTTAAACAAACTAATCAGCTATTTTTCTGCATTTTTAGTACAGACAGGGTTTCACAATGTTGCCCAGGCTGGTCCCGAACTCCTGAGCTCATGCCATCCACCAGACTTGGCCTCCCAGAGTGCTGGGATTACAGGAGTGAACCACCGTGCCAGGCCAAGTATTTAACCTCTTTATGCCTTTTCCTTACATTTGGAAAATGGGAATGCTATAAGCACCTAGTACATAAAGTTATTGTGAGAATTAATGCCTCACATATATACATATTTATATAGCTATACTCTTAAGACAGTACCAGAAGCAAAGAAAGTACTACTTAAAATTTAGTTATTAGTAACTACTACTATCGTTATTACTATTACAAATTACATAGTATACATAGTATTACTACTATTATAATTATCTTAAAAATCTAAAATAAAATTTTTAAATAACATTCTAACGTAATCTCTCCTGCTCTGCCCTGGCCCTGCCCTGGCTCAGCCCTAGTGCTGGCCCTGCCCCTAGTCCTACCATATCCCTGGCCCCGACCCCTCCATGGCCCTGTTGCTACCCTGGCCCTTCCCATCTTCAGGCCTTACCATGACCCTACCCTGGTCCTGACCCTGGCCCTACCATGATAGAACAGAGAAGAGGTAGGGCAGAGCCAGGGAAGGGCCAGTGCAAATAAGGGACAGGACACGTCCAAGTCCAGGAAAGGGCCATGGCCATGACAGAGCCAGGGTGAGTCTTTGGCAGGGCCAGGTTTCAGGCCAGGGCCAGGGAAGGGTCATGGCAGAGTCACTATATGGCCAAGGTCCAGGCCAAAGCCAGGGCAAGGGCAGGGTCAGGTCTGCATAAGAGCAGGGCCAGGATCAGGGATATGCCAGGACCAGGGGCAGGGCCAAGGTCAGGGCTGTGCCAGGACAGAACAAGAGCAGAACAGGGCAGGACCAGAGCCACACCATAGAGAGCGCAGGGCAAATGCCAAGGTAAGGCCAGGGTAGTGCCAAGGCTGAGGCAAGGTCAGAGGAGGTCCAGGACTGAGTCACAGCTAGAACCAAGACAGGAGTAAAGGCCAGGGCAGATCTAGGGCACAAACAGGGCAGGCCAGGGCAGGGCAATAACAAGACCAGGCCATGGCAGGGCCAGACCAAGATAAAACAGGGCACAGGCAGGGCAGGGCCAGGGCCATGACTGGGGCAGGACAAGAATCAGGGTCCAGGCCAGGGCAAGGGTATGGCCAGGGCAGATGTAGGGCCAGAGCCAGGGTCTGGGCAGGCACAAGGCAGGTCCATTGCAGGGCCAGAGCAGGGCCGGGGCCAGGACCAGGAAAGGGCAATGTCAGGACCAGCGCCAGGGCAGGACCAGCAACATGGCTAGGACCAGGACAGGGACAAGATCAGGACTAGGGCCAGAATAGCATGCCAGGGTAGGGCCAGGACAAATCAGGGCCAGGACAGGTTCGGGCCCTGGACCGAGCCAGGATATGGTCTCAAGCAGTGAAGGGCAAGGGCCAGGGCCAGGGTCCATGCCAGTGCCAGGGCCAATCCAGGTCAGGGACAAGGCCATGGCCTGGGTAGGACCAGGTTCAGGGCAGGAGAAAAACAAGGGCAAGGACAGTGCAGGTTCTTGGCACAGCCAGAGACCAGGACAGGATCAGGGCACGGCCAAGGCAGGCTCTGGACTGTGGTAAGACCAGTGACAGGGCTTGGGCTAGGACAGTGATAGGGCCAGAGTTAGGGCAAGGGTCAGAGCAGTGCAAGGTGAGGGTAGGGCCAGGCATTTCAGTGTCAGGACAGGGTCAGGGCCAGGGCAGAACCAGGGTAAGGTCTCAAGCAGCGAAGGGCCAGGGCCAGAACAGGTCCAGGGCAGGACCATGACAGAGCCAGGGGCTGCGTTAGGGCCAGGGCATGGACAGAGCAGGGAAAGGGCCAGGGCCAGGGTAGGGACAGGGCCAAAAATATGGCAGGACCAAGGGCAACGCCAAGTCCAGGGCTGAGCTATGACTGAGTCAGGGCAAGGCATGGTATGGCCAGTGCAGGACACAACCAAACCCAGTCCACAGAGAGGGCAGGGCCAATGCCAGGCTAGTGCCAACACTGAGGCAGTGTCAGGGCATGTCCAGGATGGGGCCAGGGCCAGAACCGAGTCAGGGCATGACCAAGGCAGGGTAGGGCAGGGCAATGGCATGGCCAGGTCAGTGCCCATACAGGGCAGAACAGGGCAAAGCGATGACAGGGGCGGGGCAAGGCAGGGACAGGCCTAGGCAGGGCCAGATCACCTCAGGGCCAGGACACCTCCAAGTCTAGTTCAGGGTGAGGGCAGGGCCAGGGCCAGGGCAGTGGCAGGACAAAGGCCAGAGCCAGGGCCAGGTCTGGGCTAGGGGCAGGTCCAGAGCAGTGCCTAGCCAAGGCTACGGTGAGGGCCAAGGTAGGGCTAGGGCAGGGTCAAAGCCAGAGTAGGGAGAAGGTAGAACCAGGGCAGGATGATGACACAGCCAAAGCATGGCAGGGCAGGGTGGTACCAAGACTGGTGGCAGACCACTGCCAGATCAGGCCAGGGAAAGGCCAGGGTGAGGGCAGAGCCAGGAAATGCTCTGGGTCAGGGCTAGGACCAAGGCAGAGCAGGGCCAGGGCCATGGCAGAGTCAGGTTAGGTCCCTGGCAGAGCCAGGTTCCAGGCCAGGGCCAGGGCAGCAGCAGGGGCAGGGCCTGGATAAGAGCAGGGCCAGGGCGAGGGCCAGGGATATGGCAGGACCAGGGTCAGGGCCAGGCCATAGTGAGAGCAGGGCAAAAACCAAAGCAGGGTCAGGGCAGATCCAGGGAGCGGCCAGTGCCAGGTGGGATCAGGGCACAACCAGAGCAGGGCAATGGCACCACTGAGCCATGCCAGGAGAGGGCAGAACAGGCAGCACCATGGTGGGGCCAGGGCAGGGATGGGCCAAGGCACCGCTGGAACAAATCAGGGCCAGGATATGTTCAAGTCCAGGTCAGAGCCAGAACAGGACCAGGACCACGACCATTGGCAGGCCCAGGGCCATGACATGACCAGGGTCAGGACAAGGGGCAGGGCCAGAGCCAAGGCCTGGCCAGCATAGGATCAGGGAAGCTCCAGGGCAGAGGTAGGGCCAGGGCCTGAGCCAGGGAAGGGCCAGTACAAGGGCAGAATCAGGGCAGGGACAGGGTAGCACAGGGCCAAGACAGGGCCAAGGTGGGGCCAGAGCAGGGCAGGGTTGAGACAGTCCAGGTAACGGTAGGGCAGGTCCAGGGGCAGGGGCGGGACAGTACAGGGCCAGGTCCACGGCGGGTGCAAGGCAGAGCCAGGCCCATTGCCAATTCACTGACCTTCCCTACAAGTCTCCTACCACCTGGCCACTGCTGTAGGCCTGCCCCCACCACTGTTGCTGCCACCTCTGCCAACTGCCACCCCCAACCCACCCCCCACTGCGTAAAGTTCAGCCTTGGCCACAGCCACCTGCCCTCCTAGTGTGGCTGCCCTCCTACCACTCTGGCATGCTGCAGTCTCTGTTGCCACCACCAAGCCACACTGAGGCGAGCCATGGTGTCGCAGGTTTCAGGTGTTTCCACCTCCTCCTGGCATGGAGCAGTTGGACAGGCAAAGCCAGAAAAGCCTAGAGGAAGATGCAGGAGGTGGTAGCGTTAGAGCCTCACCTTGTCATGCCGGCCACTGGGTGTCAGGGGCCAGTTTCAGCAAAGGCACTCACACCCACCCTCCAAAGTTCAGCGTCTCCTTTTGGCCCAAGTTGGCCAGGAACTGGGGCATGGTGTGGGTGTTGGAGACGCCACAGCCCCCAGCTCCCCACTCCACAGGAACTGCTGGGCCAAACGGGTTGTACTCCTTGGGGAGCAGGAGCAGCAGAAACTCAGACCCAGCCAACCCTCCCCACCCAGGTGCCAATTCCTGTTCCAGATGTCTCCACACACAGGGCCCTTTCCCCTATGGTGTCCGCAACTCCATACCTGGGGGTGCCAGGCAGTCTCTGTGGCACAGACCCAGAGTGCATGGGCCCAGGAACCATGGTGCGTGTGGGGGCTCTGCCATGCTCAGGATTCCCGTGGAAACACTGTGTGCCTGCCGCACTCCAGTATGAGTAAGAGTAGGTCGCCCTCTGGAGTGTGGAGTCCAGGGAGAGGAGAACTGCTCCTTCCTTGGATGCCAGCACTGTTGCTGCCACCTCTGCCGACTGCCACCAGCAGTGCAGCCCCTGAGAGCACCCAACTCGCCCCCCTCCACAGGTAGTCCTGCCCTCAATAGCATCCCCCACCTCCACCCCACAATGCTGACAGCAGCATATATCCGATAGTGCCATAACCTGTCCCCTTCCATGGGCATTGCAGCCCCAGAGAACGCCCATAACCCACCCCCCACCATGGGCAGCACAGCCTTGTATAGTGCTACCAACCAGTACCCCCAACGCAGGCAGTGACACCCCGGATAGCGCCCCTAACCCACCCCCACTGTGAAAAGTGCAGCCCCGGAGAGCCCCTGTCCTACCACTCTGGTCGTGCTGCAGTCTCTGTCGCCATCACCACAAACCACAGTGAGGCAAGCCGCCGGGCTGCAGGCTCTAGCACCCAGCAGCCGGGCCTGGAGCAGCTCTTGCTGATGGCTCCCTCCTACCACTCTGACCATGATGCTGTCTCCATGGCCATGTTCTTTGACTACAAAGGAATAAAACTAGATATCAATAAGAAAAGCAATTTTGGAAACTATACAATCACATGTAAGTTAAGCAATACGCTTCTGAATGAATGACTAGTTGGTCAATGAAGATACTAAGATAGAAATCGAAAAATTTCCTGAAACAAATGGTAACGAAAACACAATATAACAAAACTTACGATATGCAGAAAGCAGTCCAACAGCAGAAATTTATAGCTATAAATGCCTACCATCCAAACAGAAGAAAAACTTTCAACAATACATCTTAAAGAACTAGTAAAGTAAGAACTAAACCCAAAGTAAGAGAAGAGATAATAAAAATCGTAACAGAAATAAAATTGAAATAAAAAATACAAACGATTAAACAAAAAGTTGGTTTTCTGGAAAGCTAAACAAAACTGACAAACTTTCAGCCAGCCTAAGAAAAAAGAGAGAAGACTCAAATGAAATCAAGAGATAAAAAAAAGGAGACATTACAACTGATACTTCAGAAATTCAAAGGATCATAACTGGCTATTATATGCCAATAAACTGGAAAGCCTAGTAGAGACTGACAAATTCCTAGACATATACAACCTACCTAGCTTGAACTGTGAAAACATCCAAAATCAGAACAGATCGGTAACAAGTAATGAGATTGAAGCCATCAGAAAATATCTCCCATTAAAGAGAAGCCCAGCAATTGATGGCTTCACTGCTGATGGCTGCACACCAAACATTGAAAGACCTAGTTCCAATCCTACTCAAACTACTTTAAAAAACAAGAGAGAATACTTCCAAACTCATTCTATGAGGTCATTACCACCGTGATACCAAAGTCAGACAAAGACATCAAAGAAGGAAACTACAGGCCAGTATCTCTAATATTGATGCATAAATCCTGAATACAATACCAGCAAATCAAATTCAGCAATACATTATAAAGATAATTCATTATGATCAAGTGGGATGTATCCCTGGGATGGAAGGATCATTTGACACACAATGTGATACATCATATCAAACAAATAAAGGACAAAAACAGTATGATCATGTCCATTGAAACTGAAAAAGCATTTGATAAAACTCCGTATCTCTTCATGCTATAAATCCTCAAAAAACCAGGTACAGAAGAAACATACCTCACCATAATAAAAACCACATGAGAGAGACTCATAGCTAGAATTATATGGAATGGGGAAAAATGGAAAGCTTTTCCTCTAACATTTGGAACATGACAAGGATGCCCACTGCCACCACTGTTATTTAACACAGTACTGGAAATCTCAGCTAAAGCAATCACTGCAGCCCCTGATACGGCCCTCAACCCACCCCGCCCCTGCCAACAGCAGTGTAGCCCCCCAAATAGCGCACCCAACACACCCAAACCGCCCCCCTCCCTGCACCGTGGGCACTGCAGCACCCCATAGCGCCCTCAACCCAAACCCTCCGCCCACACCGGGTAGTGCAGGCCCAGATAGCAGCCTTAACCCACCTCACTGCTGCCGTCAATACAGTCTCGGATAGCGTCCCCAACCCGCTCCCCACCAAGGGCAGTGCAGCCCAGAATAGGGCCCCCAACCCACCCCCCAGTGCAGGCAGCACAGCGCCAGATGGCACACCCAACCAGCCACCCAAGATGGGCAGTGACGCCTGAGATAGGGCTCCCAACCCACCCCAGGCCGCGGGCGGTGCAGCCCTGGAAAGTGCGCTTACCGATGCCTTTCTATGCTCTGGACAGCTGCAGTGTCGGTCCCTGCCACCAGCCGCAGCCAGGCGAGCCAGCGATGGGAGGCGGGCCAGCGAGGTGAGTGCCAGCAAGGCCAGCCACAACCCCGCAAGCTCCAGCCTCCAGCGTGTACCAGCCTACTCCAAGCTGGAAATGGAGCAGAAAAGATCTCCCACACAGACGAGGCTGGACTAGCGCAATTTCCCCTGCTTAGTATGCTTTATATACGGAGATTGTAAACTACATGTTCTGATTGGATAAGAGGAAAACCACTAGGCCTACTTTGATTGGACTTTATATTAACATTCTGATTGGCTAGCCTAAGACTCGCTCTCATCCAATCAGAACATGAAAATAAAGTCCAATCAGAGTAGGCCTAGTGGTTTTCTCTCATCCAATCAGAACATGAAGTCCAGAAACCTGGCTTGCATAGCCTCAGTATATATAGCATGCTAACAGGGAGTACCGCCATTGCAGGCTGTTGTGCCTAAACTTCAAGTGTTTCTCAGTTCGTACCTTAGAGAAGGCTGAAGCGGAGTTCCACGCATTACTCTGGAGGCGGGAGACTGTGACCCCAGGTCTTGCCTCTGCCGGGGGTGTGGCTGAGATGGAGAGCGGCGGCTGGCAGTGAAAGCTGTTCGGTGTTTGGCAACAGCAAGGGAGGAAAGAGGAGGCGTCTACCACAGGCTGGAGGCTAGAGCGTGTGGGCCTGTGACTCGCGGCCCCTCGCCTCTCCCCTCGCCTCTCCCCTCGCCTCTCCCCTCGCCTCGCCCCTCGCCTCGATTGGTGGCAGCTAGGGACCCTGCAGCTGGCCGGAGCGTAAAGACGATAGGGTAGGTGTTCTATCCAGGACTGCACTGCCCATAGCGGGGGCTCATTGGGGCGTTATGCGGAGCGTCACTAGTTTAGGTGTACCAGGGTGTTATTTCGGGTGCCCGCAGGCGGGGCTGGGGGCGGGTTGGGGGCACTATCTTGGGTGGTATTGTTAGCAGCAGTAGGGCTGGTTGGGGGCTCTATTGGGTGCTATAATGCCCGTGACAGGTGTGGGTTGGGGCCACTTTATGGTTACACTGCTGGTGGCGTGGGGGTGGGGGGATTGGTCTGGGCACTGACCGGCCTGACTTCATTGCCCACAGTGGGGTGGGGGTGCTATCTGGGGCTGCAGTGTCTGTAGCGGGGGCTTTTGGGGGGCGCCGTCTGGGGCTGCAATGCCTGTGGCAGGAAATAGGTTAGGGGCAGTTTTGAGTGTTACGCTGCCGATGGTGGGGTGGGGATGTGGGGTTTGCAGGGAGGTTCTTGGAGGGGGTGGTTTCGGGCGCTATCGGGGCCAGAGTGCCCTCTGATAGAGAACACGTTGGGTGCGCTATTGGGGGCTACACTGCCCACGGCAAGGAGTGGTTTGGGGGCGATACCCCACTGGTGGCAGGTGGCGTGGGTTATGGGCACCGTTCAGGGGCTGCACTGCGGTCAGTGGGGGGTGAGTTGGGGCGCTATCAACTGCTGCACTTCCTGTGGTGGGGGTTCGGTTTGGTACACTATCAGGGTCTATATTTTCACAGCGGCATACGGGTTAGGGGCGCTGTCCAGGGCTACATTGCCCACGGCGGGGTGTGGGTTGGGTGCGCTATCCAGGGCATCATTCCCCTTGGCTGGGGGGGATGGTTGGGGGTGCCAGCCGGTATCTGGGACTGCACTGCCCATCGTGGAAAGCGGGTCGGGGGCCTTAAGAAATTGTGACTGTGCTATTCCTGGCGGGGAGCAGGTTTCAGTGCTCTCCGGGGTGTCCCTGTCCCGGACAGGGGGCTTTTTGGGCATCATATCTGTGACTGCATGCCTCACGCCAGGGGGGTGGATTGGGGGAGTTACCTGGTGCTGCAACACCCGAGGCGGGGATGGATTGGGGTCGCTATTGGGTTCTATACTGCAGCGGCGAGAGGGGGGTGTTAGGGGCCCTATCCCGGGGCCAACAGCAGATGGCGGGTTAGGAGTGCTATCAGGGGCTGGGCTGCCCTGTCAGTGGCAGCAGAGGTTGCAGCAACAGCAGTAGCAGTGGTCTCCAAGGAAGGAGCCTTTCTCCTCCGCGGACTTCAGACTCTGAAGGGCGACTTTTTCCTGCTCCTGCTGGAACTCAGCAAGCACACAGCATTTCCACAGGAATCCTGGGCACAGCAAGGTCCCCATACCCGCCATGGTTCCCGGGGCCGCGCCCTCTAGCTCTGTGTTGCAGAGACCGCCTGGGACCGCTAGGCACGTGGGACCCGGGGTAGCTGACACCGCTGGGGAACAGGGCTCTGTGAGTGGTGGCATCATGATTGGGAAGGGGCATTTGGGTAGGAGGGCTGGTTGGGTCTGAGTTCCTGCTGGTTCTGCCCCCCAAGGAGCACAGCCCTGGTGAGCCCAGCGGTTCCTGTGGATTGGGGAGCCAGGCGATGTGTTTCCAGTCCTCACTCCAGGCCCCAGTTCCTGGCCAGCTTGGGCCAAAAGGAAAGGCTGGACTTGGAAGGGTGGATATGAGTGCTTTTACTGAGACCGGCCCCTACCACCCAGTGGCCACAATGACAAGGTGAGGTTCTAACCCTACCACATCCTGCATTCTCCCGTAGGCTTTTTTTGGCTTTGCCTGTCCAACTGCTCCACGCCAGGAGGCG